AGGATATACTTGCTTGGTGTGGCATGAAAGCGCACCATGCGAAGGCACATACTTACCGCCATTCAACGACTCATTAAAAATGCATCGCAGTGGGTTAATTTAATAAGGAAGACTCGTGCCCCTGCCATCTTTAGGTCCTGGTTCCGTGTGGGAAGAGAAGTGAGGCACCAGGTGAGAGGAATATTATATTCTTTACAGAGGTAGAGGTGAATAGGCTAGAGGAAGTTGACGGTCGGACGAGTGCACGCCCGGCCTCCAGGGGGCCGGGCCCGAAGTTTGCGAGTGTAGCATTCATCAAAGCCGTCAGAGCGAGCTTTGTGTGAATCAACCTTGGAGGTGATTGGCCAGACCGGAGGAGGCAGTCACTAGTGCATGAGAACTTGCAAGCAGCCGCGCAACGCATGTGGTTGGACGGAGTTGGCAGTTTTCCCAGAGGCAGTGATTTCATGTGTGGCGTGGCACGGGAGATGGGAGGCGCCATAGGGTTACACTAGATTACCCCAAGTGCAACTTATTCGGGTAAGGAGTAATCTCCATTACAGGTTATCAGAATCCTACAGAAAGTATCGGCGTTCACTAACAAAACTGACAGGGTGTCAAAAATGCATTTTAAAGTTATTTTAAAGTATACCTCATCTGAAGTGGGGGCAAACCTAAAAATACACAGAATAATGCGTTATCGGCGTAAAAGGCTCAACCAATGGCAGCTAGTACTCCTTTTTACGTAATTCTGTCAAACTCTAAATCAGAATCACAGACAACTGTTAAACTCCTACATATAGTGACTACCTGCTTCCACGTTAGTTTCCCGTTTGCAAATGTTGGGACTGAAAAACACATTGACAATGTTTTTGATTTAAGAGCGCCGAAAAGACTGCACGCCAAAACAGGCACCCGTGACCTCGGATACGCCTTTCTCCAAGGACACTACCAACCGAGTCGACTACAAGGAATGGCCTCTTCCAGAACATTATTATCACACGACTGCCAAGTACCGCCCACCAGAGGGTGAATTCATGGATAGCACCACTTACAACGTCACCTATGTTCCCTTGGAAGCCAGCGCCAGAACCAAACCCATTCGGCCCAAGGAGGCCCAACTGAGTGAAAATCGACAATTTTATGTACGATAGTAACCTTTTTTCAATTTTCTGCTTTCCCTATCTGCTCACTTGGGATGCTGTGACTACTAAATTCGGGCAATGCAGGCACCTCTTGATAGTAGACTTGATATTTTGTCAGGACCAAAATTCCTTTGAGTCAGTTGTGAAAAACACGGCAGCCTCGGCAGGTTTCGAACTCACGGACGCAAGAGGAAGGCTTTGTTACGGACAACGCTTCAGGCAAGTGGGCTACGAGGCTCCCGATGGGAGCCGTGAGTTTAATTACACTTGGATCAACATTGGTTATTGATGCGAAATGTCGGCTTTTTTCCCAGCAGTTCAGTTCAGTTTATTTGAGTGAAATGTATGTGTATATGTTTGAACTCCCTATTTGTTTACATGCGTGTTGTGATCTCAAATAAGTAGTGCCTCAGCTTCTTGACAATGCTAAATGATACGAGTCAATGAAGTGGAACAAATTAAAAAGTAGACAGTTAAGAAAATATTACTTGGGATCTTTTAGGAGAGAAAAACTGTCGCTCATAGGGAGGTAGTACTGTAGGTCGAAATGGGGAGGGGGTTGCAAAGTTCACGGAGATCATCACAAAATTGTGGAACACGTGGCCAGATACTCCCTTTCTGAATGCAGAGTCCACCGGCAGGGTTGCGAATACAGAATTACCCGCCATGATCTTCGACAGTCAATCGCAGTAGGACGCGCCAAGTAACAGAAAAAAAGGGTAAAGAAAATATTCAACAGCAACTTTAGCGCTCAGAGCAGTGTGAGACTGCACTTTAACCTGGTAAGACTTTATTCTAGCTTATAAGGTATACTCATCCTTTTTTAAACTGGAATTGCGAATTTGATGAACGAAACACTGACAGCATACATGTATGCAACTAGCGGAAGTAGTACATGGACGCTAACCGTTTTTCATATGCGACTGCCTATTATAAAACCAAGTGAACACAGTAAAGCGTTTGCATATTCGTTCTAGAATTCACTGAAAGTGTAAGTAGGGTGGAAGTACTCTTATGAGCGCTAAATGAAATAATTTATTTATCTAATTGTTTCTTTGTTGAAAAAAATACATCTGCTTTCTGATCTATACAGGGTGAAAAATACTTTTGTTTAACCAACCGGCGTAAATCACAGTTTTTCTATCGACAAAAAGCTGAATGTGTGCAAGGGGAATTATAGTCACCACCCCCCTGAGCAGTTGGTAACCGCTATATTCATGCCCTTCAGTAATCATCAATTCGGTACCCGAAGATTTTCATTGCGCTGCTATGCTTAGTTCCTGCAGAAACGGTGTGTGTTAGAGACCAGCGTTTGAGGAAGGCTGTTAACGCCCTCTTCGTAGATCATAGCTGGGCCATGGAGGCCACACCTAAAGCGCGTTTTCGAGTTCATTAGGATTGATCTACCTGAGCTGAGTTTCGGACCAATTCTGGTACTGTAGGGGTCATAAAAGGCTTTGACGGGATCAAAGAAGTTCGTATTTTCTGCTTGCTCTGTGTAGCCTTGGATTTTCCCTATTTGGACAGTCACAGTTATTTTTTATCATCACAGTTTCTGCTTCAGTTGGCAACGAACTTGGAGCAATGAAGCTTTCATTCGGGTTGGGCAATTGTTCATAAAAATTCTGCTGATCTTCTTTTCCCGGAAATCAGTCAACCAACCTACATTAAACAGGTCCTAATGTTTTTCGTGGCGGTTGCGTGGGTGGCATTCAACAGTCTTTGACAATATTGCTCAGCGTCTTCGCTCTCCAGTGCTTGAAGTTAGTTTACATTAGTTTTTGTTTCGTTAGAGAATTCGCGGCTAATGGTGTAGTACTGCACTATTCATCTTCGCTTAGGATTTTGTTCTCTTGAAACAGTCTTTATAGTCAGATCTGAAACCCCATTTTCTAGCTGAGGAGGTGGTGCTATCTTCACGTTCTTCACTTGCTAATAAGCGCTTAGGCCAGTACCTGTCAGTGTCGACCTGAACTTGGACAGACAAAAAATAATGTAGGTGATCTGAAAGGAGCCTTTCTTTCGCGCAAATTTTCAGCCGTAAGCGATGCTCACAGTAGCGGCCTAATAACAAGAGCTTTCAGTTACCACAAGATACTGGGTTTTGGATAGGCTTATTTTTGGTTGTCTGCATAACCACAGTTAATAAAAATGACTGCGTAACTAGTATAGATTTTTCGACTGAGTTTCCATGCTCTTACAAATTCACATGATGAAAGCAATATTATATCTGGACCTCGGATATTCTCGCATGTAAATTCACATGTATTTCATGGAAAACATGCACACAAATGCCCGTTCTTGTATTCGTTTTTCTGATAAATCGATTTAAAAAATTTCATTTTCATATGGTTCAATACAGAGATAGTTAGATAAAAAGGGATTCTGCTTGATTTCGCTGACAAAGGCGTCAGAGGAATGAAAGTTTTTTTTATTCTACACCTGAGCAGGCTGGCCAATTACTAATAAATTTCAGTTTCAGTGACCATATTTCATGGATTAGGCCTCCTAAAGTATAGTACGAAACAGCCCTTGATAGTTAACTCATCCTTGAAGTTTCTAAGCTACTGACTGTGCATGTTCTTACAGAGGAGTTTTAGTGTTCTTTTACTGTCTGTTTAAAGATTTATGCTGAGAGACATGTTATGTTGAAAAGTAAGTGAAGCAAAAGACAAATTTTATAAATGAGCTCGAGAAAATTTCCCAAAACGCATTCTCCAGGTGGTTAAAAAATTAAAATATTTTGCACTTTTAGCTAAAAAGTTGAGACAACACAGATTCCTGTAGCTCAACCATCTCCATCGCGTTAATGTACATTTATTCATGCTGAACATTGCACTTTGTCAAAGTAAGTAAAATTGACGCTTTCGTATACAACTTTACTGCAGTTTTATAAATGTGATATTCACGTGAAAGCTAACACATTCAGGTGTCTGAGGACTGTTGCTTTTGTTTGTTATGTCAAGTTCACTAGAATGCTACTGCTTATGCAAAAGTAGCGTTATGAACTTCGCCCACTTTCAGGACTTTCGGAGCCTACTATTGGTTCTTTTTATTCGAGCCTACTTGCTAAATGCCGCTTTAAAAAGCTTTGGTTTTAAAATATCAACCTCTTAGTAGCTCTAATGGTTCACGAAAAGTCAATAGCTACTGAGACTCTTGTCGCTGGTTATTTAAAATCCCCTGTCCACAGAGTGCAACTGACTACGGTGACAGCTACCGTGAATGGCCACTGAGCAGTCGCGCGTTACGACGCAAAAAGGGACCCGATTACTTGCCGCCGGAGGTGCCCTTCCAGGGTCTGACTATTCAACAGACCGACTACATTCCGCATCCCGGTGCCAGGAAGCTCTCCTCCTGCATTAAAAAGCTGGAGCACAAGACTGACGTGCTCAACACTGATGATCGG